GATTGAGGCAATAACTGGCGTCGATAAGTTATGGGGCGTAGGCAGAGAGAGATGGGTATCGGAGAGCCAAGGGATAGAGGTATTGTAACGACCGAACCTAGACTCCAAAGTGATTAAATAATTAAAAAAATTATGAAACTTGTGATATTATTGAAAATTATACAATTGTTAATTTGAGGTCAAATTATACGCTAGGATTTTAATTATGAAAGATTTGAATATTATAAAATTTATTGAGGCCAAAATTTATCAAGTAAAGAAAAAAAATTGAAACAATAGATCTTTAGTTAATAAATGGATGCATTGTCAGCCAATAGACCCGTGAGATCGGGTTAAAGTGGAATGATTGGTGAGGTACCAGATTTGCATTCAGATCTCGCATGACGTGTGGTATGCGAATATGATATTTGTATTTGTTGATTGAGATACTTTGTGATACTTGACTTATTCGGTATTTAATGTCCTTTAGAATATTATTCTGTGTCATATTTGTATATTTCCCCGCTTTATTTAATATTATCAGATTGATTTTAGAGGAAAAATTGAAACAAAATAATTAGAGTATTAAAGATGAGAAGATATCAATATAATTGTTGATTTATTTGTATTGAGAGATTTATTTATATTTGGGAGATGATATTGATAATAGGCCAGTCAAAATCCAACACGACACGGTTAACCAACATGAATCGACACGAATTAAGCGGGTCTGGGTGAGACCTTAGCGGATTCGGGTGATAAATAGATTGAGTCGTTTAACATGTTGAATAAACGGGTCGTGTTCAAGAGAGACATGTCAACCCGTTTATAACCCGTTTAAATAAAATTAATATAATAATAAATTAATAATTATTTTTAAAAAATTAACCAAAATTTTTTTTTTTAATGACAGCCACACAGAAAATATATAGTTATTTTTTCCTAACCCTAATCTAACTCTTTCTACGCTGAACGCTGAAGCTTTGTTGTTGCGCCTCCAAGCCCTCCACTTTTCTCTCTCTCTCTCTCTCAACTCAGCGAGCTGGTAAATCTTCAAGCCATTTCAAATCTTTGGGCCAGGCTGAATCGCTTTGACCATGGAGACTTCGAGCCAAGACATTTCAGATCTTAGACAAGTGAAAACAGGTAAATCCTTTCAGATCTTAGTCCTGATTTAATTAGTTGATTTTAGGTTTTTTGTGAATTTGATACTTTGGTATTTTGTGTTTTTTGCTATTTGTATTTAGATCTGTGTTAAATTGTTTTGTTTTTGTGTGATTTGTGATGTCTTTAATTTTTTTTATTTATTATGGATTCGATCTTTTATCAGGTTTTGAATCTCTGGGATTGGGGATTCGGTTTTTATTTGTACATGATTTGATTGCAAAATTAAGGATTCGATCTTTTATCTAGATTGGGGATTCGATTAATTTTTTTATTTATTATGAATTCGATCTTTTATCTGGTTTTTGTTCTTGTGAATTCTTTGGCAATCTGCAGAAGTCGGTAAGTCTCAAAAACTGGGGGAAAGTTCTTTGTTTTCATGATGTCTATATGACAGATAATTGATACTTTAACGTCAATATCAACCCAATTTAATCTCGAATCTAAGGTAGTTGCAGCTCCAACAACATAGACATCAACTAGTACAACTATAGAAAAAGGTAAATCTAATCATAAGCAATAAAAGACTTCAATAGTATGGAAATACTTTACAGAATTAAATGAAAAATATTCAGACGGCAAGAAGCGTATTGCATGTAATATTTGTCGTATCAAATATATATGCGAGTCTAGTCATGGAACTGATACATGCATACTCACATGGAAAAATGTGTGAAAAAAGACACCGAGGATATTGGACAATTACTTCTAAGTCAAGGTCAAGGATATATGCTAATATGATCCACAAAATTTGATCCTAAAAAATTTCGTGAGTTAATGGTAGAGGCAATACTTAAGCATGATTTACCATTCGATTTGTTCAATATGAGGGTATTAGAGCAATGTTCAAGTATGCTTATGAGAATATCAAGATGCCTTCTAGGAATACTACAAAGTCAAATTTGTTAAAAATGTATGAGAGAGAAGGATAAACTTAAAATTGTGTTGGATTCCCTTCCTGGAAGATTTTTTTTGACATCTGATTTGTGAACTTCTATATCGACTGATAGTTATATTTCTCATAGCCCATTATGTTGATTTAGATTGGAAGTTGCAGAAAAAAAAATTAAATTTGTCTCGTGCCCCCTTCGGGCCTCCCCACACTGGTATTGCTTTGTCTGAGAAAACTTATACATTTTTGACTAATTGGAGAATTGAAAGGAAGTTATTTTCTTTTACTTTGGATAATGCTTCTAGTAATGATTGTTTTGTTGAGTTGTTGAAGAGTTAACTTAATCTTAAAAATGCTCTCTTGAAGGATGGTGAGTTCTTCAATGTTCGGTGTTGTGCACATATTCTTAATTTGATAGTCCAAGATGGACTTAAAGAATGAATTAAGATAAAAATTCGAACAAGCATCAAATATGTTAAAGGTTCATCGGGAAGGAAAAAAAAGTGCATGGATTGTGTTGCTCAAGTTTCATTAGATAGCCTAAAAAGGTTTGCGAGGAGATGTTCTAACTAGGTGAAACTCAACTTATATTATGCTTGACAGTGCACTTTTTTATCGTCGTGCATTTATTTATTTACAGTTGAGTGATTTTAATTCTAGACATTGTCCTTCCCAAGAAGAATGGAACAGAGTAAAGAAGATTTCTAATTTGTTGAGGGTGTTCATAAAGTTACTTGCTTATTCTCTGGTACAACATATCCCACAGCTAATTTATACTTCCCCCAAATGTTCCTAATTCAACATACTTTGAAGGAGGCATTAACAGATAATGATAGTTTTATAAGGATCATGTGAAATCATATGTATACCAAGTTTGACAAGTATTGGTCGAAATATATTGTGATTCTTTCAATTGTTATCATCTTAGATCCTCGGTACAAATTCAGTTTGTAGATTGGGCTTATTCAAGACTTTATGGTGGTAATTCCTATGAGTTCAAATGTGTTCAGGATATTTATTTGAGCTCTTTGAATTGTACTCCGTCAACTTGTCACATGTTGTTCCAAGTACTTCAAGTAGTGAAAAATAAGTTAGCGAGACTCATGGTCTTGATGATTCCAAAAGCCTTTTTCAGGTAAAATATAATTTAGTTTGTTTGAATTGAATGTGATCAAACTAGTTTATTGTATATTCATAATGATTTTGTACAAAATGTAGGATTTTGAAAAACATGAAAAAAAAGATTCTCCTGTTTCTCTAGTGACTAAGTTGCAGTTGTATTTTAATGAAAAAAAGGCTTGATCGAACGAACTTGGATATTCTAACCTTTTGAAAAGGAAAGAAGTTTCAGCATCCTATACTGTCTCGGTTGGTTTGTGATGTGAAGACAATTCTTATTTCTACAGATGCAACTGAATCTGTATTTAGTATTGGTGGTAGAGTTTTGAATAAGTATCGAAGTTCATTTTTGTCAGAAACTGTCCAAGCTTTAATTTGTACTAGAAATTGGATTCATGGGAAGAGCAGTAAGTTTGATTCCATTTTTACTAATATTATTTTTCTCATTATCCTAATTCATGTGATCATTTGATTCATTTATGTTTTGTTTTGCTCAGTTATAGATGATTCTAGTGATGATTCAGAAGGAGAAATAGATAATGATGTTTTCAATCAAAATATGAAGTCTAATAAAGCTAAATCCGCTTAATGTTCTAATTCTATATCTATCATTGATCATGACTAAAGAGAGGTATTGAAATATTTAACTTGTAATGTCAAGTTTTTGTTACTTATCTACTTATGAGTCTATTTAATTATTAATGTTATATAATATTTCATTTTAATTTGTGTAGGGCATGAGCATTTGGTTGTTGAATCTGCTACTTGTCGTGGAGGCGGAGATTTGATCTCTTTAACGGAATTTTGTGAATCATGGAATTTTGTGATTTTGTGAATTATGGAATTTGTGGTTGTTTGGAATTGTGGTTTACAATATGATTGTTATTTGGTGTAATTGTGTTATTTCGGATTGTATTTATGAATTGTAATATGGTTATTGGTGAAATTTAGTTATTTTGGATTGGAGTTTGTACTTTGTAATATGGTGTGGTATCTCTAAATATCACATTTATTTGTGTTAGTTTTATAAAGTTATATAACATTTTTAAATAAACAGGTAAATGGGTTAAACAGGTGATTCACCATATTAACCCGACTCAATCCAACCCGACTCGTTTAAAATTAGACGTTTTAAACGAGTTGTCTCGTGCTACCCGTTTATTAAAACGGTTCGTGTTCGTATTTAGATTTTTTACCCGTTTATTTTACCCGTGTACAGTTTATATATTTTTCACCCATCACCCGTTTGACCCGAGACATAACCGTTTGACACCCCTACGATTAGCGCTCAGCTATTTTTATCCGGGTGTATTTTTATCAAATTACATTTCCAAAAAATTGGGGCGTATGTGAGAGATGGAGAGAGCTGAGTGAGAGAGACGTAGCATTTGATAGTATAAGATAGAAAGAGAGAGTTATACGAGAGATATGAGCTTTAGAGTTACAGAAGGAATGGAAGTCTACTTCAAAAAATTGGCATTAGGACCGTCGAATCAAAACAAACTGAGCCGCAAAAAACTCAAGACAAATAATCTAGCTACTTTATTATATAAATATGATTTATGTTGTACAACCAAGCAACACAATTTAAGTATTCAGACGTATCAAAGTATTTTTAACATAATCACAGTAAAGCATAATCGTGAAATCCTTCCTAAAGAGTTCCAAGATCTCTCTTAAATAATACAAGTGGAATAAACAAACCAAGCACATCCTACTAAGAAAAGTTGCCACTATTTTCAGCAAATTTCCGGAAGAACATTTACTTTAAAAGAATCAAAGGAAGTCTAAATTTCACAAACAATTTTTCGTCAAGTAGATAGATGGATATCACTGTGTTTTGTGTCTAATGCATTCCCATGATTAGTGATGCTAACTTTGAGATCTGGTAGCATGTGCAGAAAGGGGTTACCACTGAAGGGCCCTTCGTAGTATGCAAAACTTGCAATGCCTAAAAGTAGATACTCAAGCACATATGTGTGACACTTTGAGAATTTTACAGGTTGGTTTTCATTTCAAGGAACTTTGTTCCGGCTTCTGGGGATCACATCAAAATGTTTTTTATGTAAGTGGCGGAAGAACATTTAGGGACTGCCTTCACTAGGGATCATGGACACACATATGTTATGCTCAGTATACTGGCCAAATCTACGTGGCAATATACTGTTCCCATGATATTATTTGAACACGCCACCAAATGGCCAACAAGTGGTAAAAAATGAAGGTTTGTCCAATGGACAATACTGTCTAGATGAAGGCAAGTGCAAGGAGTACCCATTTTAGCAAACTCAATCTTGAATACATAACATAATTATCCAACACTCCTAAAAATAATGTATGATTAAGAAAAATGGAAAAGGGATTACCTATGATAGCTTTGTTATTAAAACTGTTGCCACATACCTGTAGGTTACGATCATGTGCTCTGGCCACAAGATCAGTAGGGGATTCCAGATAATTATTTGACACAGGAACCAAAGTATCCTTCCAAGGTCCAATCCCAATAACATAGTCCTTGATAAAGTCAAGGTAACTATCCGAAGTAATTTCCCAATATGACTGCAGAAATCGATAGTCATATATTATTTTCTCAGCCACATCACTTGAATAATTTTAAAATTAAGAAGTGCTTGCAACGTATTAGCAGACATCCAAGACAATCATCTACGGGAGACTGCTATCATTAACTAATAAAGCACAATACAGGTCTTGTCCACTTAAATTTTAGTTGTGGAAGATCAACATATGACATTATGTACTCATTCAGAAGATAAAAGCTTGTAAAAGTTCAATTTCAAAATGGAATGGTAAAATTTAGAATGTACAGGGAAATAAAATTAGGGAATATTAAATATGGTGGAGAAGTTGTCATTTCCCAAAATTGGACAAACAGCATATTGTGATAGTTTTATGTTAAACCTTACACGTAAAAAGGATTGGAGGAAACCTTGAGTTTTTGTGATGCTGGGGAACAACGCGTAACATTGGTGACAGAATGTCTCAGCAAGAATATCACCATGCACATCTCATTTGTATCAAACTAAACATTTTTATTTGATAAGTACTCAACAAAATTTTAACCTGATTTGTGTCTTGAGTTGGCATAGTCACATCGTCAATTAGGAAGATCTTAGGCAGGTCCGTCTGGTTTGATATGTAAATTAGAGATGCTGGGGCAAAGGATTGAATAAATGCAGGCTGTTTCAACCATTCCTTTGACATGTATGAACCTCTGTATCTATACTTCTTTAGTGTCTCAACAAATTTGTCCTCAAACCTCTTACCACCTGACCATTTCACCTGTTGGTACAAACATGGGAAACAAAAGTTCCACTAATATCAATGTATAGCGGCACATTTTGTTCCTATTCAAAAAACAATTCTTTTTAGCAAGCTACTGCACAGCAGGGAAAAAGCACTCACGTGCTGGTTAATAAATACAGGATTTTTCATCTCTGGATATATTCCAACAACTCGGGGTGCACCCAGTGCAATTGAAATGTACTCTTCAAAAGTTATAATAGAGAATTTCCCTGCACAGCAGTTAAAAATGAAATTGTGGGAAACATTTTTCTATCATTCTCTGAAGGAGTAATTACTAACAGAGCATAGTTATGATATATAAATAATTGACAATGTCACTATTCTTCATTAATTACCTCTGTTACATTAAGATATCATATATCAAGATCTACAATAAATTTGACTGGATGCTAAACCAGCGTTTTATGACAAAAGTCAATGATGACTCATAAAAAACACCAGAAGGCAGATATTTATCTCATGGAAACAGGCCAGGTTAATCAACATAAAATTTGAGACAAAACCGCTGATTCCACCCAACAGGCCTTGACCAAGAAGTAGAATTCCATAGCTGAGGCCATCTAGGCCGATACATAACCAATGACATGATCAAGTGTTACTACAAATTGAACTCAATCTGATGACACAAACCAGGGATTAATTTGATGTATTTAGGTAAACCATAAGCAAGTTAACCTGGAGATAGTGACCAACTATGATTTTCAACATGTATGATATCAATTTTTCATATACTACAGCACATGATTACGGTTGGGTCTGCCATCAGGAGCAGAGCCAAGATTTGCAAGCCTTGGGGGAACCTACAATTCAATAATAGCTTAAATGCTCTCGCTAAAAATATTTGGTAGGGGAGGTGTGAATTCTATAACAAAGTTTGATGAGTCCAAATCCAGACCAATCAAAGTTTAGGTTTGGGATTAGTTGAGGTCAAGGATCGAAATATCGAAACGTCCGAAACATTTCGGATTTTCAACATACCGACATGAAACGAGAGTAGAAAACTGAGGGGCTGTTTGGTTTTATTTTGGAAAACTGTTTTTTGTTCTCAAAATTTTTAAAAACAATGTAAAGAACAAAAAATAGGAAACAAGTTCAACTTGTTTTGGGTGTTTTGGAGACAAAAGAAGGAAAAAAATAAAAAACACAGAGAACAACAAACTATTTAATGAGGTCTGCCCTTCGAGTCCCCTTAGAAGCAAAACAAGTTATAATATAAAAGCCTTTTTTCTTTTTTTTTTTGTCTTTGTCTCTGCCAGACCACTCAACAATGTCCCCGTCTCTCTCTCTCTCACCACTGGCTCGACTATCTTCTTCGGCGACTGCATCTACTCCGGCGACTACATCTTCTCTGGCAAAACACACACAAACACTGGAGCTCTCCGACGAGATGACTAGATCTACTGCAAGCTCTCTGACAATTGGTTTAGATCTGGTTCAATTGGCGAAAACACAGATCTTATTTTTTTTTTGATCTGATTTTTTTGGTTCAGATCTGGTTATTTATATATATATCAATAAACCAAGGGCTTTAGATCTTAGATTTTTTGGTTCAAACCTAATTTTTTTTCTGCTTCAATCGATAATCAAACACAGATCGAATTTTTATTTTTTTTTGATATGATCTGATTTTTTTGGTTCAAATCTAGTTATATATATATCAATAAACCAAGGGGCTTTAGATCTCATATTTTTTCGTTCACTGATATTGATTCAGTTATTGGTGTTGTTATTGATCTGAGATTTTTTGGTTCAAAAAAATTTATTTTTGTTTGGTTGATTGATTTTATATATAAATTGATATTGAATTTTTTTTATGGAACTGTCATCTAAAAATAATTTTCACATATTTTTTTATTAATTTTTGAATTATTGTCCAAACATATATTTAAACTGTCCAAACAATTTTTACTGTTTTTCGTTCTGTAAAATTATTTTTTAAATCATCTAACCAAACAAGTTTTTCATCTTAGAAAACATCAAAATACTTTTTTAAAACTTTTCCCAAAAACTGTTTTCAGATACTGTTTTTTGATACGCAAACCAAACACAGCCTAAAGTTCTTGTGTTCTGAGCGAAACGTTACTGTTTCGGACTATTTCGATCGAAACAAGGGCTTGATTCGATTGATTTTCAAAAAATTGTTGTGTCCACGCTCCTCTAACCAACAAGGGGAGAAATACTTCGCTAGTGACAACCTTCTTCATCAAAATAGAAGAGAGAGAGAGAATAGCTCAAAAAATTACTTGTGAAGCCAAAAAGGGGAGAGATTCAACTTGGGGTCGCTGAGTGAAGACCGTACCAGGGTTGTTGATTCAAGCCACAATTCACTCCCACGATCTAGATCACGTCCAAATCCAACCTCCTCCAAGTATGATCTTATTTTCTCTTCTTCTCTCTTTCTTCCTTCTTTAACAATGGCTTGTGGTGGGTCTTCATCGATCAATCTTCTCTCTCTCTCTCAAAAGATGATGGTCACCGCCTGTTTAATTTCCTCCCCCCCTTTTTATTTTGTTTTAATTAACATTAATGACATTTCAATCCCCCTTTTTTCCTTTATATAATTGTTAATAACCCATATAATTAATAAATAGTTTATTATTGTTAATTAACTTATCAAAATAACTGCAATTAATTTTATAGTATATTTAATATCTGAAATTAAGTATTTATGTTGTAAAAATTGTTCAAGCAATATTGTTAATATTAATGAAATGATATTACTTAATAATTTAATGACACAATTTGAATTAGTAATTTAGTATTATAATATCGTGCAAATAATAAATTTGTACTCATTTTAATTTAAAAGTGTTATGCATGCCATATTTAATTTAAAATGATCATATATACGTGACAAAAATGTGTTTATTTTAAGAAAATTAAGTGTTTAAAACTAATTAAAGTGATTTCCGTCACGTGTCAAGCCTTTTTTTCCCTTCAACTTAATGTTATTCTGTATAAATTGACATTAACCTAATAAACATGCTCAATTAATTAATTATTAAGCTTATATTTATAAATAAATAGATTATATTTGTGTTTCCATATTTTTTTCGCATTTCCATTGCGTTTCCGTTTTTGAACCGACCAAAACGGTACTTCAAAACGATATTTTGATCCTTGGTTGAGGCCTTGGGCAACTAGATCTAACCTAAGCCTAGTCTCATAGGATGACTCCCCGAGCAGCCATCAATGAGATGGTGCAAATGGTAAATCACTACAAGCTCTATAAAAATTTATTACCAATGTCCTATCGGACAAGATGCTTCATGTATACTTTCATTCTGCACAACATTCTTAAAGAGATGTATCATAAGTGCACACATCGATCTGACATTGGAAAAGACAAAGTATATCACAACAGCAGTACAAACATCGGGTCTGCATGAGCCCACCAAACTTTTAAGTAAAGTAACTTGAGCTTGCATATAATTTCACTTAATTTTCCTGCAAGTTGATTCGATCTGCTTGAGTTTAATGCTGAGACCAACAGGCATTGCTATGACTTGGTCAGATACTCAAGTATCAGCAAATAAATATCCATTTTCCTTGACAGAAATAGATTTTTTCTTCCAATTTTTCTTGATGCTAGGTTGGACATATGACAACTTGACCCATTTCAAATTTTTTCATCATTGCATGCACATCTATAAACAATCTAAATGTGGGAAAATAAAATAGAAATTATCAAGAAAAAAATCAAGGGCTATAGAAAGAAGGTCGAATTTCGTGAATCTAGAAAGGAACTAACCATTATATTGTTGATCTCGAAATGGGCATCTTTGCTTCACTCGCAATGACTTTAGTTCTTCAAGAGTGAAATCAACTGGCACATCATCAAAATACTATCCATAATTTCCAAGAAAAATCAAATCATCTTTGTAAAACAAATGCATAGCCAACTTAAAGAAGGGGGAAACAGTATTGCATAATGATGGTATAGTAGTTGACCACCCACACCCAAAGATACTAAATATAGTAAAGAATACTTCATAATTAGGACTATGTGGTGAATAAATGGTAATTTTCAGTAACAGGACATAAGCATCAGCATATCCTAATTATAGGCTCGCGTTCTAAAGTAAGAGAAAGCAGGTTTGCATTCGAGGACAACCATTTTCGCGCAAACTTTGCCAAAAGGTAGGTAGGGAACTTGAGTGGTATCATGTCCATACCGATAAAATAGCCAGTTTTGTTGAACCCTTGGACCTCGTAAGTTTTCTTTCGATTTGCAAATTCCTTGTGCTTTGCTATATCAGTCGTATCATCCAGGGTTACATCATGAAAGCATAAAAGGGCTCCGTCTTTGGAGGCTAAGATATCCGTTTCTATAAAATCAGTACCCTCTTCAATGGCTCTCTGCAGAGACATCAATTTTTAAGGACTAGTTAAGTTAAAGAGGAAGCATATTAAGTTAAAAGAACACAAATGGCTGAATTACTAATTTTATAATTAGTTGTGGCAATATCATAAAGTTCAATTGGGTATAATAACAGTTTCACATGTGAAGCAAACTCGAACTTCACACACAAGAAAATACCAGAAACATTGTTTTATTGATGAATACATTGGTCAATATGAAATTGGGTAAGTGCCACTATTATGAGTACCCAAGCCAAACTCTTTTATTTATTCCCATTCTTGTATTCTTGTTTGGCAGTCTACATATTAATCACATTGAATAACCAGGATGCTAAGTTGATCCATTAGACCAAGGTTTGAATAACTATATATGTAATTTTTAGAGCTACTTGTGCTGAATTGGACAATGTCCAACAATCATACCTATAGAAACAACAGGAAAGAACCTAAGGATTTTCAAATTGCAATGGCACAAAATATACCATGTATGCAGCGGCAGTTTCTTCAGGAATCTCTCCGTTTGAACCCCGATGTGCAATATTAAATGGGCGGAAAGTCTGTAGAGGCTGTTTACTTTTGTCATTTCTTCTGCCAGGGAGTGGATAGAGAGGCCTTGCAGAGCACCCAACAAAGAGTAGTAGACAAATGAAAGGGGAAACACCTGCCAAGTCCATTACCAATTGTTAATTGGGAACACGACAAGAAAATTTTGGCCTTAAATTACGTAATACACAACTCATCAATGACTGATAGCAATTGCATCTCTTGGCGTTGGTTTAGGCCATATTGATCCAATAAAAGGTAATGGCTCAAACTGTGCATGGTGTCACCAAACTATACGAACTGTTTACACGAGCACCGTGAATTTTAAGTATATCAGTCAGCACAGAACGCTACTAGTCAAAATAAATGCATATAGATGCACAAATACATTCAATATCCTCATATAATGTGTTCTTATCTATGAAAATCCCATCAAATTTATACTAACGATGTATGCATGTAGAAACTCCAAAAGCACCTACTAAGCAATTATTTCTTAAAAGAAGGGACATTACTGATTTATAATTAAAGCAACTCTCCAAATATAAAAAAAAAGCTACCCATCCTCATCAATTGCTATTATTGCATATCGAGTAAAGCAACTACATCATGCAACATCCCCTTACTTAGCACAGTATTCAGATAATCACTCCCTATAAATACAGGGTTGATTTAGTCCAAACATTAGTGGGTGGCATACAGTCATTTCCCAAACTTGGGTGGTTAGGAGTGATAGATTCGGCCAACAATAATTTCTCCACAAACAACTAGCAACCAAACAAAATCACTGCATTCGAAATCAAAGCACCCAAATATGAGAATAAAAAAAGGGTTCAAAGAAAAACGACTATGAAAATAAAACAACAAATCATAACCCAAACACCAAAGTACAAAGAACTATATATATAAATCCTCATTATACATACATCATATAAGCATGCACATTAAAATGTATAACAAAGACAATAACGAACCAAAGAGTTCTTTATGCTTACCGTATGAAGCCATTGGGTCGTTCCACCTTTTGCTTCCCTTTCCGTCTCCCCTCTTTTTTTGGTTGACTTCTTTTCTTCTTGTGTAAACTTCGTCGGTCTTTATCCAATGACGAAAGTGACGGAGTTAGTGCTTTTACCTTTTTGCCCATCCAATTTTATGCATTTACTCTATTACGAATTATAAGTAAATAAATTTAAATAACATTATTTTTATATAAAATATAAATTATAAATTATATATATATATATAATTAAATTAAATAATAAATTAGGTGCTGAGTAATTAATTCAAATTTTAATTATTAATTTATTTATATGTTTTTGAGTACCTAATATATTATTTATTTAGGTATTTTGTCGATTCTTTTAAGTATTTGCATATCTAATTATATACTATAGAATTATTAATTTTTATTTTGTTAAGTAGATTGATTAAATCACTTATAATATTATTATATTATTACATACAAAAAAATAAAAAATAACATATATTTGACCATATATGATTTTACTTCTTCATATGGATATAAATAAAGGTAATATTATTGGGACCTAATTTTTGGACCTAAATAAGTGACCTAAAAATGTGGCAGCTGAGATGTCCTTACCAACTCAACAACTTAAGCCACCTAATTTCTTAAAAAAAAAAAAACTTAAAAAATCAGCAACTTAGCCCTCTTCACATTCTCTCTCCCTTATATATGTTTCCTTACCTCTAAATGCAATCTTTAAAAAAACTTAAGGATGTACGTTACCTCTCGATGCAATTTAATTACATAAAATAAGTAAAAAAAAAGCGAAAATGCATGATAAGTACAATAAATGAATAAAAAGTAAGATATTCTAAACATGTTGCTTTTTAAATTCCTAAGTGATCAGTTGATAGAAGATAGGCCAATGAAATAGGAGGTCAGCTGAATTAGAAGGGTTGGGGCAGTGTTGAAAGAGCTAGCAACCAATAAGGATGTAACATACTCCAACTAAAGAAGAATAACACCTGGAGAGCTAAGACACTAGCTGACAAACTCCTAATAAAGAGAATTCCAGTTGAAGTAGAAAACTCCAGTTGAAGGAACGTCCAACAGACCCTTTGCACTTGATTTTAGGCAATTGAATGCAAAAACATACAGACCAGATGATGCAAAAATAGCAGCTGAGAAATAGACCAGCAGAAACAGAAATCACAGACCGCTGCTGAGCAATAATCCAGTTGAAACAGTAAGAGTCCAACTAAAACAGCTAACACAGGCAGTCAATTTACAGCAGAGATTGCAGGCAGCATCTGAGGAGCAGTAAAGCAGACCATAAGCCTTAATCCTCTAGAGGTGGGGTAGATCTTGATGAAAAAATTAACCAAGTGATAAAATTAAGCAAATTTTCAAACCACAATAATGTATTATCAAAAGGCGAAATTCAACCCTTAAATTGTTTTACAAATGTAAACCCCCACATGTCTAAACTATCAACAATCGTCTAATTAGTTTCGTTTTGCATTTAATGTCTTCATTTACATCCTAAATCAAAATATAAAAATAATAAGTATATTTAGGCTCCAAATAAGTATAAAAGGCTAAATATTAAAAGAGAAAAAAAATATGACATTTTGCATTCTCATCAATTAGCTAGCTTAGAGGAATTGAAGAAACATGTTGATAGATATACAAGTTCTACATCATGTTGTTATAAATGATTATAGGAGACGGATGGCAATTTGATTTTGGTTAATGAATGATGCTAGACATGGATCTTTATACAAGTTATACTATCTATATTGGAGATGGGTATGAGATATAATTTACGACAAAAGACACTCAAACTCGAGTTAGACAAGTATAGAAGAACCAAGCAGTCCAGCAGACTACCTGTCATCAATTTGATCATAACTCTTTGTTGGAAAGTCCAAATTGTGCACCGTTATTTTTGTTAGAACTCTAACTCATATATCTTTCCAACTATATAGGTCACACATACTAGAAATATCTGAGTCAAATCAATTTATTCTCTGAAGTTAATCAAAAATCTGTACTGTGGTGTTCCTTGGATAGTAAAGTGTTGTACTTTCTTCTTAGACTTTGAAGGTGTAAACCCCCACATGTTTATCTTAATATAGTAATGTACTTGTTTAGTGATTCTTATATATGTAATAATGTAAGAATAAATCATATATATTGAAACCGTAAGAATAAATATTATGAAAGAATAAAATAATAATTTTAATGTTTCGAGTGTAAATTTATTTTAGTTTTGAAATAAATCATAAAAATAAATGTTTTTAGGTTAAAATAACATCAAAAATGAATCCGGAACGTCGAAAAACCTTAGGATAGTCATATGGAAAAAATTGAAGATTTTTAGTGGTAAAACCGTAATTTTAGATAAAACTCAAATTCCAGTTTGTGAACAGTAACCGTCGAGACTGCTGTGTTTAAAACACAGATTCAGTTCATTTGCTTCTATTTCTTTCATTCCACTCTCACCCCAAACCTCTTAGCACCCTGAGAGAAGATAGAGGAAAGGAGGAAAGGGAAAAAGAAAATCTCTAGAGCTTGGATTTTTGGCTTCGAACTTTGATTCAAGGTAGGGGTTTCTCTCACTCTTATTCATTGAGACTAGGGCTATATATGCATATAGATATGTTTTTGACTCTAAATCTTAGATACGTGTTAATAAATCTTTGATGTTTGATATTCTTGCAAATATTGTCATGTTTAAAACAAGGCTATGGTTGGATTGCCATGAAACCTCTATTTCTTATTTTGAAAACCCTTGTTCTCATGAGAGGTGGATTTTTCTCTCAATATTCATTTGTTCTTGATTTTTAAAACTTTAGTGCTTTGTGTATAATAATAAATGATGTTGTTGTGATCTCTTGTATTTTTTCTGAATTAGTTATTGGAATTGTTACATGACAAATTTGGGAATTTTGAGATATGCTTGTAAAAATGAGAAATTGTGGATTTTGTATTTATTTGGAATTGTTGGTGAATTGAGAATATTTTGGTTTCCTCATTTGTATGGTGGTTGTGATGGACTTGGTTTGCCATCGAGAGATGTCATAGAGTGTTAGAGGTTAGTCTATCTCAATGGGGGTGAGATGGTTTCCTAACACTTGTAGTGGGTTGACATCTAGTAATGCATCACTATCGTTCACTAGATTTTGAACAAGGATGATATATTTTTCCTGGGAAGGGACTCGTCACTGTCATTGGGATGGTAGACGTCATTTTCCTAAAGTGCTTGTGATTGTGATCGTGATTGTGATTGGTGGACTAGGTATAATCGTTAGGTAGATTCATGAAAAGTAATCAACATACAGGATAAGGGGATAAACCAAAATACATAGGATGATGGGTTGGATCGTCTTGCCAGTGCATTGGCATGGGACAATGCATCGGAACACGCCCTTTTTAAATGGCTTAAATTTGAAAATGGTATATTGTTGTCAAATTTACTTTATTCTTTCACTTGATTATTGTTACTGTTTAAACTGGGGATCTATTTAAAATGTCTAATTTTTTCTTAAAAATTGATATATGTTATTACGAAATGAGATCGACCGTTTTTTATCTGTTTTCTAAACTTTGTTCTAGTTTGGGAGAATTTTTCTATAGAGTTTCGTGCTCACCCCCTACAGTTAAACATTTTACAGATTATGGGCCAGAGGAGGAGCTCGGTGCTAACGAGCCGGGCCATGGAGAAGCTTCATTAGAGGGTACTTGGATCCCGAGTAGGACATCTAGAGATGTCATTTATTTTTGTGCTAGACTAGCAACGATTATGTACAATCATGTAAAGTCTAGTATTTTGTTTATTCCGCTGCTAAGTTCAAATGTAATTTTTTTGATATAGTAGACCTAGTTTGTGCTTATTCTTTTAGATAATGTTGTAAATATTTTATGGATAAATAGACCCGGTGTGGGTAATGTAGTATAATTGCACAGATTATGTTTTGGGTAGAGCTCCCCGAACAAAGGAGACTCTGCCCGAATGTTATTAAATTAAGAATCCCCCAGTTATTTATGGATTTTATTAGTTGTTCTCATGGTATGAATAATTTTAGAAGGTAATGCCTTTCAGGGTGGGTTTTGAGGCGTTACAACAAATATCCAAAGTATCTAAAAGTATTAAAACAATACACCATTGGTAACACAAATTGACACAAAATACTAACTACAGTCTTTCTCTTGCACAACTAGATAATCTTTTTTCTTGCATAACAATGCAAATCAACGCCACCATAGCAATAGAAATCATGTCAGATGGACGGGTAACACAAAGTGGACACAAAATACTACAATCTTCCTCTTACAAAACTTGACGATCTTCCTCTTTTTCGTACCTGCTATAGAAAAAAAAAAGTACAGTTAATGGTTGATTCAAGTTTTAGAACAAAAACTCAACTTTTGAATAAAAAAACAAAAATTCCTAAATTTCTCTCTAATTCATCAAATATACTTGCCATTAGACATTGACGTTGAAGATGTAATTGGAAACTCTGAAATGTCTATCATTTCTTTGGAGCTAGAGCAAGGCATGGAGCTAGAACAAGGCATGAAGCTAGAACAAGGCATAAGGTGCATACCTTATTCAACATCCCAATAAAGATATTGGTTATGGTAAACAAGAATAAGAAATTTCATAAATTGAAATTATAGTACAACCACAAAAAAAAGAGAACTTCTATAATGAATCTTAGATTGCTAACCATGAAATGATTTCCAATATCTCTTTAAGTGACCCCCATAGCAAGGTCATATTGTTCTATCACAAAAAAATAAAAAAATAGTAGATAATAAAATAAAAAAACTACGATGTCAACAAGATAATAACATATACAATTTTCATAACTCACACTATAAAATTGCAAAGAGGAGCATTGACCATCACTTATGCCAACATTAACCGTTTGTGTAATCTGCGAATCCTACATGTTTAGAGTTAAAAAATTAAGACAGATCACAATAATAAATAGCATCAAAATATTATAATTTAATTTGGATGTTGATGTCATAC